CAGACAGGATACGTCATCAGCGCGTTCATGCACGCTGTGCAGACAGAGCGAGAATAGCAGACAAACATCAACAACCCGATCTTCCTTCCTGGTATTGTAGTACTTTTTTGTAGTACTAACTGTACTATAAAGTTTTCTCACCGGTGAATGACACATGATGTAGCCTAGCAGTTCCCAATTCCAGTCCTCGCTTCGAACTGGAATCATGGCGGAATAGCCGGTGATGTCCACTTTCCAGGGCACTTACGGTCGAATAGAGCAAACGTCGCACTTGATAAGAGATACATATGGAATGTGCAGAGCAGGAGGGCGCGAGGACTGGAATTGGGAACCACTGATGTAGCCTACAGCAGTGGCTCTCAAACCTCTCCATGAAGTACACCCAGCATTGCACACTTTGCATGTCTCTCTATATCTGACACACCCACTTCAGGCCTTGCAGTCACCACTAACGAGCTGATGAGTTGAATCAGGTGTGATAGATGAGGGAGACATACAATATGTGCAAGGCTGGGGGTACTCTAGGACAGGTTTGAGAATCACTGGCCTACAGTATCAGAATCAGAATGAGCTTTATTGCCAGGTATGTTTACACATACGAGGAATTTGTTTTTGTGACAGAAGCTTCCACAGTGTAACAGAATGACAGTGACAGAACAAAAACACAGATAATAAAAAATAGAACAAGTAAATAAGGAATAAAAATATATAAATTGACAGTTGTATGTGCAGGTATATTACAATAGACAGTTTTTGTATGTACAGGTACTGTATATTATGTGCAAATTTGAGGTGTAGACTGAGTATGTGTGTTAGATAAATAAGTGTATGAGTGAATCTGGTATTCTGGTCTGTGAGCGTATATGCGTTCAAGGGGTGTGGCTTTGGACGGCGATTGCAGAGAGGGTGGGACATTCGCTTTCAGTGCTATCAGGCTAAAGTTAGCATTTTCCAAGATCTCCTACTGCACCTTTAAATACTGAAAATATGTAAGTATTTTTATGTTTAGATGCTGAAAATACATCACTATTGTACATTTTAGTGCCTGTAAAAACGTAAGTAAATGTACGTTTTATAAAACCACATTTTACGTAAAATACATACAAATTATCATGAGATCACGTTGAACACTTATGCACCACCACCGAGACAGTGATAGACCACATTCTGTACACAACTTACTAATAAAGCATTTGTGCAGAAAAACTGATGAACCCAAAATATGAACTTTAAATACTGTCAGCATATGCATAAGCGCTTTCTTCGTTTTTCTAAAGGGAGGAAAACGCTTTGCGTGTATATTCTTTGCTTATCTGCATGTCTTAGCATCACTGTCTTACTACATTAAACCGGCATTTTAAAATTCTAAATTCAAAACTGTTCACACGCTTCCAGGGATTTCATTTCAGTTGTCATTTGTTGAAATAAATATAAACTTGTGCTTGTGTCTGTCTGCTGATGTGACCCACAATCTCTGACTCTCCTCTGTGGCCATGGAAAAATTAATATTTACAATGACAACAATTGTACTTCATCATTAAAACGTTTCCAACAAAAAAGAATGGATCGCCTTCTGTCAGCTTGTTGAACAAACACTTTATTTGGATAATCTACTATATGACGGCTGAAGCAGCAGCGGGCGACACTGTTTTCACGCTAATCAGATCAAAGTAAACGAAACTCTACAAAACTTAAGAGCAAACAAATCTCATTATCATGCAAAGCAATAAACTAGCTTCTCTTCCCTGCAAACGGTCCAATGAAGAATGTGAATATTTAACTTCAAAATAAAAACAAAACAAAAGATGAGCAGGTATCCGTATTAATTTCAGCTATATATACATATAATACAAGTAGAAACATATGTATGTGAATGGAGTGTGTGAAAGAAAGATAGAAACATGACATTTATGTAATTGAAAGGTAAAAATATGTATGTGAAAAGAAAATGTGAGTGTGTGAGAAAACAAAATATGGGTTGTACAACCCCACACAGGATAAAACCAATGGAAATGGTTTCTGTATTACCCAAACGTCATATCTAAACACATCCTGTCTCTCCAGAGCCAATAGGCATCACCGTTGTGGTGCGGGAAAAAAAAAAAATCTTTGCAATGATGCTGAGGCTTACCATGTAAACAACAGAAGTGTGAAATGTGTGGGATTGTGCTAAGTGCAATTTTAAAGGAACAGATCAACCAAAATGTCAAATTGTTCCAAACCTATATAATTTTTTTTTTTTGTTGTTCTGTGGAGAATTTTTAAAGATTTATTTTGGCAGTTTTTTTCCATATAATATAAGGTGATATTCACCATAATCTTGCCCTCTGCCTTTGTAGTTCATACGAATTTTAGAATTTATTTCAATCAACAGCACTGATCTCATGTCCAAATTTAATCACGTCAGACTTCCTATAATGATGCCATCATCCTGTAATGAGGCCATATTTGATTTTTAGAACTGCATGCTGTAAGATTTTCTGTGAATTAAAGACTTATGTTTCGGACTGTGATGTAGTCATATGGACTTAATTTAATGTTGCTTCTTTGTCATTTTGGAGTTTGATGCTCTCAGTTCTCATTCACTTTTAATGTACAGAAAAGAATGTCTTGAATAGTCTTCAGTGTCACCATTTTATTCCATAGAAGGAAGTACACAAACATCTCTGGTTCTATGACGAACCTTTAACATCCTCGGAATATGTATATTACACAAAAGGTTCTTTATAGTGGAAAAGTTTTTTAAATGTTCTTCACAATAAGAAAAATTGCTTCTTTTTAGAACTGTTCATTAAAATGTTCATCAGGGAACCAAAAATGATTCTTCAATGGCATCGCTGCGAAAACAGCAGCGATATTTATTTTTAAGAGTAAAAGATTTACAATGAGATGAGGATACGAAAATTATGTCAGAATTTCTATTTATAGGCAACTCTCCAGTTAAGGGTTGACTTTTCTTCAGTAAACAGTTTTGAAAGCTGTGGCTGACTTAGGGTTTTTTGGAAAACACCACTTTGTTGTGACCTTCTTCCGCTCCATCTCTTTATGCTGCGTTTCCGCATGCAAGAAAACCACAGCTATGTATGTGGTTTCAACTCTAAATATCTTTTCCATCTTGCAAATGGCTAATGCTCGTTTTGCTTGGTTGCTCAATCTTTACAGATTGCTGATACTGAACCCAGTGCCTATTGAAGGCCTCCTGTTTTCGCGGTTTACCGATGACATCTTCTGCAAAAGCGACTCTCTGAATGTCCTGCACATGAAAAAGTAGATGACAGGATCCAGACACACATTAAGGGCGGACAGGAAGAGCGTAGCTTCTTTGATCTGGAAGAGAATGAAGCGGTTGTAGGTGCTAAAGTCATCCTTGTGGCTTTGGCTAAGCGTGTAAGGAACGCGACAAATGTGGTATGGAACAAAGCAGAAGACAAAAACAGCCAGCAAGCTAAAAATACTTCGATTTGACCGCCGTCTCGCCACGCTGCTGTCCTGCTGCACGCGTTTGTAAGAGCGGTAAACATGACAGGCGATGGAGGTGTAGCAAAACACCATCAGCAGGAACGCCACCCAGAAGATTCCAACGTTGAAGTGGGATGACATTTCGTGCCAGCGCTGACCCAGGTCACTCTTCAGGGCCATGCAGGAGAAAACCTTAGGCATGGGCTGGTTGGTTAATATGGCGTTCGGAAGCATGAAGAACATCATGACGCCCCAAGTTAGCAGTGCGAGACCCTTTGCTACCGAAACACGCTGCAGAAAAGAAGACACTTCGGAGGTACTGCACACGATTTTGAAGTAGCGTTCCAAGCTGATGAGGCTCATGAAGGTTATTCCTGTGTACATGCTGAGGTAGAAAAGCACAGCTGTGTAGCGGCAAACTATCAGCTTCAACTGCAAGCCGCCGTAACCGAGGTCGCCCACTACACGCCACGGGTAGGTAAACAACATCAGAACGTCTGCCACCACCATGTTTTTTAGGTAAACTACTAAGGCTGAGGAGGTGGGAACCCTGAAGAAGATCCAAGCGGCGAGTCCGTTGAGAATGAAGGCACAAGCACAGATGATGGTGTAGAGCACAGGCAGAACCTGATGTGTGAACACACTGCTGACGTTCGTGCTGTTTTTAGGTTCCGTCTGTGTAGTGTTGATGTAGTCCATATCTAAAATGGAAAAAGAAAGAACTTCTTTAGCTTTGATGATATCAGGAAATATTGTGACATGATTCAATGTTGTAACTTCTGCTACTTTCTTTTGCTGATGTTCAGAAATTAAAAGTGCCACTTTCATGAATAATCTACATCTTTGTATAGTCCTTGCACTTTTTATGCTTTTGTTTCTACTTCAAACTCTCTCTGACAAAACTCTGACAATACCAATCTTGTGAAAAAATCAATTCTTGCATACTTTAAAAAGTGTATTTATTATGGAATTAATATACTCTAAAACAGCATACTTAATTGTGAATGTAATGTTTTCAAACTCTTAATTACATGTAATTGCCATAACATGAAAATATATAATAGTTTGAATTTATATTAAATGCTTTTAGATGACCTTTAGAGTGCTTTTTGACCTACTTAAGCAGTACTTAAGTACATCTTTCTATGTAGTTTCATAATCAGTTCTGTTGTCTAAAATATGGTGAAGTGTACTACCAAGTGTTCTGACAAGCATTTATGGCAAATTAGAATAGACATTTCAATAGAAATTAGATCAAAGTATGTGTCATGTATTTAAATATATTTTGAATTACACATTTGTAATGTTGTAGTTGCAGTTAGTACTTTTCAAATAATTGAACTTTAAATGTAATACAGAATAACACACTACAGTTAAAAGTATAATTAAGTACTTAGATTAAAATTAGTGTACTTTAAAATAAAACTTTTAATTTGACATGATTATAAAGTGCACTTAAGTATTTTAGTAATATTATCTATCTTTAGTAATAATATAATATTACAAGTAGTATAAACTTTTAAAATGTTAAGTATACTACAGGTGCACATTCAATGCGATACAATATAGTTTCCAACATTCCGTTTAATGTCTTTTTTGATGTAAACAACTGCATTTACTTTTGCTGCCTATATTTCAGATTTTAATCAAAATGACCATTCGAATGTCTTTAGAAATAGCATGGTGCTATTTGTAGCAAAATTGTAAATCTTTCAAAGTGACTTTTTCGCAAATCCTGATATTAGAAATAATGATGATAACATTATTACAAAATGTTCCATGATAAGAAGAAACTTACTTGAAGAGTTGAGTCAGCTTGTATCATGACACAGAATAAGAAGAAGCGTGTTGGGATGAGCCTCACATGATATTTCAGAGGAAGGGGGCGTTGACTTTGATACAGGAACTAAAGAGTGGCTGGGTTTGTCTCGTGGGTGAACACTTGCTCAGCACTGCAGGAGTTTCCTACCACTCATGTCTGTACACAAACAGCTTCCTACTCCCTGGACTCCAGCATAACCCACAGGACAATGTGATTGCTCTTTCATTGCTCATTGGAGTCAATAGAGTCCCAGTTGTGTTTCAATAAACATCAACTTTGTCTCAGATGTTTCTAAATTCAAAAGAGCTTTATTGTCAGCGCATTCATATACGCACAATTACACAGAAGAATGAATGAAAATTTCCCTGGGACTCCTGATGCTACAATGAATATAAGTTTCAGTTTTATTCAGCAAGATTGCAATAAATTGATCAAAAGTGATGAATACAAGATGTGCAATAGCATATCTGATTTTAACTTAAAATGCCAAATACTTATGTAACTTTTTACTGTAAACACTATAACTTTAAGTAACTTTAAATGTAAATACTTTGCAAATCAGTTTTGCAAATACATTCAAATCCAATAACATAAATTAGAGTATAAAAAGAACAGAACACACAAACATTTACAAACATAAACACAATTGCCTGAAGGGTTTTCCTGGTTTATTATTATTATTATTATTATCTCTGTCAGATATTTCTATCTGAGGTTTCAGTGGGAGTTCAAAGCGGATATAAATATGGATGTTGTGTTTGTCAAGCACAGTTTAAGCTGGTTTCCTCTCTCACCCCATGCTGAGAGTTGTGGAATATGAGGCACTGATAAAGAAGCATTATAATGCAGTTTTTGTGCTATTATAATTTTTTTAATAATGAAGAAAAAATATATATTTCTGTCACTAAGTAAATTGATCACGTGAACTCTTTTGTACAGACAGTCAGATGTTCTTGCTGAGTATTATTCAGAGTACCCCCCCACCCCATAGAAGTCAATGGCTACCACAAACTGGTTATACACATTTTTCAAAATGTCTTGTTTTGCTGAAGAAAGGTTTGGAACATCATGAGAGTGAGAAAATTTTTGGTAAACTATCCCTTTTAATTCAACTTACTAGAGCTCTTTATATCATTTGGATTTGCAAAATCTTTGAAGGTTAAGCTGTGCTCTGAAGGTCTTGCAAAAGACAAAGTAAATAAGTGGATCCAAGCAGGCGTTCAGTACTGTGAGCAGGACAGTGAGCTCCTTCAGGATGTAGAAAACCTGCTTTGCTGTGCAGTCTTGCAGCAGGGGTTTGATGAACACGTACGGCAGCCTCACCAGATGATACGGTACAAAACACACGCAGAAAACCACCATCAGAACTCGCATGTTACGCTTTGACTTGCTGAGCTTAGCGTTGCCAGGCTGATCCGGCATTGTGCGCTGAGCTTGACGAAGCTTCTGTACGTTCAACCGGTAGAACAGAATCAGGGATACCAGCACAAACAAAAACAATGGAAAGCAAATGATCTGCAAGGCCAAGTAGATCTGTTTGAGTAAGCTGTTATGAAAGCTGTCACAGTCGAAACCACTGTGGGCAGAGGTTTGTTTATCAGCGCTGACAAAAGCAGCAATGTAGGCACAATTTGAGCACAGCAGGACGACCCAGGTCACAATGCAGATGTAGCGTGTGGAGCGGACTGTTTGCAGCGTGTGAGTCTCCAGTGGCCGTGCGATCTTCATGTACCTGAAACAAAAGAGCAGTGAATCGTAGAATACAGAGAAATATGTCATATAGAACTAGGGCCATCCTCTGGAAGCAATGCTGTTTGTGTCTCCATGACTTGCTACTGATCATTTCAATAAGCTTTTAACTAAACAGACACTTTTTTTTTATCCAAAGCAACTAACATTACATTCTATCATTGCATATAAAACAACAATAAAATTAAAATGTGGTGTTAATTAATTAATTTATTTATTTTATTTGACAATGCTGAATTTGTCTTTTTGTCTCTTATTTTCTGTTCAACCCTGTTATGCTGTGTTACAAAATAGTACTTGGATATTTCTGAAGTCATATATGAGGAAGCTATATAGTATATTAAAAGTCCTTGTTCAAGACTCTATTATTTTTACTCTTATATTTGCTCAGTATTTTAATTACACATTATAACTTAAAATTATGCAAAAATCTGCAAAAGGGTAATTAAATGTAACAATGTAAAAATTTTCTTCTCGGAAAGAAATGACCAGTGTTCAGGAAAGTTACTCTTAAAAGTAATGCATTACATAATTGCATTACTCCCTAAAAAGTAACTAATTGCATTATTTAGTTACTTTTTATGGAAAGTAATGTTACATTACTTTTACATGACTATTTCTCATCTGGGCATGGCTTGCTTGTTTTTAATATAAAAAGTTCAATTTTTTGCACATGTAAAAACCCTTTCACACCAAATGTGAAATACACCTCAGGCTGAAGGAAATGTAAATTCACGTCTGCACAGTAGAGGGCACCGCTCAAATAGCTGTCAAAGAGCTGTCAGTCAATAAATATGAAAACAAATGGGATTACTTATTGAAAAAGTAACTCAGATATTTTCTTGTGAATTACAAACTAATTTGCACTACTTTACTAGTTACTTGAAAAAAGTAATCTGATTACATACCTTGTGTTACTTGTGATGCATTACCCCAAAAACTGGCAATGACGTCGTCAAAACATCCGGTAGAGTGGGTTTTCCAGTTAACGGTGTATTATGCATGTTATTTTTGGACAGACATTGATGTTGTGATATTCAAATGATGTGGATTTTAATAATTATTTATTTTTTAGCCAGCAAGTATTCAGTGAAGTGACTGATGCCCGTGCTGTATTAATGTTTTTAGTTGTAATAGTTTTTGACGAATGTGATAGCGTGCATGAGGGATGAGCTATGACTGATTTTTGGGTATTATGAAACGTGCTGGAGACATTTTAAATTATTTTTGCTCAGTTCATTATACTTATTTTATAGAATGAACATTGTTTAAGTTATTTCATAGCATAAATATTTACGTCACTCAGAGACTGACATATTTAGCTTGTCAAAAATGTTACATTAAGCGGTCACAATTTCGTTGAAAATCAAGTTAATTTTTTACCAGAAAAGGATGAACATCCATACCTGTTTGCAGCGATGTAGCCCATGAAGAGAATACTGGAGTACATGTTGAGGTAGGAAGCTGGAGCGCCAAAGTTACAGTAGATACGCTGAATTTCCATTGAAGTTCTAGCATATTTAGCGATGCGTAATATCAAACACAGGCACACAAAGAAGTCGGCTATAGCCAGATTCTTCAGATAGATTGTGATGCTGGATTGATTTGTAGCTTTGCAAAAGTACACATAAACTGTAATGCTGTTGAGCACCAGGCTTGCCAGAAAAATCACTGTGTATAAACATAGGAAGAATGGACGAGCTGGCATTTCAGACAAGCCACAAGGTCCTTCAGTTGAATTGGTTGCGTTTTGGTCCATGATGGTCACTTGCTGGACAGCGATCCAGAAATGGGATAGATTGGTACCTACTGCAAGAGAGGTATATAATATATTTGTATATATAATATATAAGAGATATGCAATATATTTGTATATATACTGTATATATATATATACAGTAGTCAACATTTGAAGTGGATCAAAAAAGTTCATAAAAGTTGTCCTAAGACAAGAACGCATTTTGGTTTCAGGTTTTAGGACAACTTTGATTAAAGGTTTTGATCCACTTCAAATGTTGACTGCTGTGTGTGTGTATATATATATATATATATATATATATACGATAAACTAATGAGTGAATTCAGACACTGATGAACAGCTGCTGTTAACAAGCAGAATCACTGAAGGAAAGAACAAGAAACAAAACTACAACTGACTTCCAGTCACAGCCTTAGATGAAATTAAGCAAAATAAAACAGCAGAGGAGGATTACACAACTCCACAAACAGCATTACCAGCTTCACTCATTACTAACCAGACTCACTTTATTTCTGTCATATATCTACAAAAATTCTTTGAGAATTAACCGAGGTTTATATTGTATTGAAAATGTTTTGTTTGGTCTCACCATTTTGGCAATCAGTGGTTGCTTTAGTTGGGCTCTTGACCCTTGACTCTTTAATGTTAGTTTTTCTCTGCTGTTGTATCTGTGTATGTAACGCACATTTGTTATGACAAGAGCTGAGCGAAATTGTAATGAAGTGGTATTGATAACTTTTAATGATGATGAAATCATCATCTCATGATCTGATTCACTGATCTCAATTAGTGTCTAATTATATGGGTTGATTTTTTTTATGGTACTAAAATGACTCTACGAGATATGTTGACAAACTATTAAGAAATTTAAAAACATTTTATGCACAAAACCTTTATAGCTACAGCACTGTTTAGACACACACAGACATCAAGAATCAGCACATGAATCTCAACAATGGTGACTATTTTTTATTAAAAAAAAAAATCATGCCGCAATGCATGCTGGGTGCCAGTACAAAACTCCCAGCATGCATTGCAGAATGAAAATTTTTTTTTTATTGTCACCAATCTTGAGATTCATAGGCTGACTGTTGATGTCTGTGTGTGTTTAAGTTCTGCCATAATTCAAAGCTTTTATTTGTGCATCTTGTGCTTTGAAATGTTTCACAATGATTGCGATAGTATCAGTGGTGCAACTCAAGAGTATTAGTCATATGTTACACACTTAATAAGAGATTAAACATTAGGTGAGATCAGTGAATTAGACTAGTTCATGATGGTCTTGACATCACAAACACCAGTTTTATCTGATCATAGG